CAAAGCGCGCTCGCCCGCGTGACCCCGCCGTCGCCTCTCGACGCCCAGCCGGGAGCCGGGCCATCGAGCTGGTGGTGCCCCCGGAACGGAGGCGACGCCCGATTCAGAGAGGGTGGGCGGCTTTCCTCAAAGCCCAGCGCGTCCGTGGTGACGTCACCGGTGAACCCAGGTCCTCGCTCTTCTCCAGGTTCTGGGTCAATCGAAGGCTTCAGATTTCCATAGGAACAGGGTAAGCCTGTAGTCCTTGGCTCCCTGCCTCACTGGGGGGGGTGTCAATCTGCGTCTTGGGACGTCTCCTATTAAAATAATAGTTATACACACATACATACAACAATTTTGGAAAACAAAAATCCTAGAAGACAATGAAATCACCTTTAATACATCCGGAAGTAACATTTTGGAATATGTACCTCAGTGTATACATTGGAATTTTTAGTACCTTACTTATTCCATCGTGCATTCTACTTTATTTTAGCTTAATAGTTTGCAAGCAGTTCTACATCATGACAAGTTTCAACAGTCTCGTTTTGATGGCTGCATCATAGCTGATTGTGCAGTTGCACCATAAATTAGAACCATTAGTGTTAGACATATCGGTGATTTATTTTTGTGTTACTGATACTGTAAACAATGCTGTGATCGCTATGATGAACTTCAATGGCGTTAAACCTTTTCTCTAATATTGCTTATTTTATTAGAATAAATAATTGAGGAAATTGTGCTAAGTCAAAGAGAATCTCCAATTTTGCTAAGTATTCCCCAAATCACCTACAGGAAGGTGTCCTCAACCCATATTCCCAGCTGCAAGGTGTGAGAATGCCTGCTTCCCAACACTCTTGCCCACACAAACTGTTACCCAACTTTCCCATCTTTATCCACCCAAGAGGTTAAAAAGAATGCCATCCCTGTACGGTTTTTATTTGCCCTTGGAAGCGGTTGTACCAATCGAAAGTCTTGCCAGCTATGTGTTAGTGCCTTTTCCAAATAGCCCTCCCTAAACTAACTTTTTAATTCGAAAATTTTAGGCATACAAAGATAAGTATAGCAAATAATAGAATAAAAAACATTTGTGTACTATTTATTCTTAAGAAATAAAACCTCACTAATATCTTTGAGGCCCTCTCTTTGCCCTCTGTTAGATCCCATACCTAGGCATTTATGCTTCCTCCCAGTTTTTCTCAATTATAAACAATGCTGCAGTGAAACTGAAGGCTCCCAACTCTCTGGCTCCCCAATCCCACTCACGGCATTGTTAGATATTACCATCTTGTCCTCCAAAACGCATGTACCCATTTACACGCCACTTGGAAGATCTTAGTGTGGTCAGACTTTTTTCCCCCATTTTTGCCTGTCTAATAAGGGTGAAATATTAGACCCTTTTTGTTTAATTTAGGCTACATGGATTATATATGTTCTGAGACCATTGGCTATTCTTTTCTGAGAAGTGCCCATTTATTTCCAATTGGCTGTTTCCATTAGGGCTGTTTATAAAGTCTGGGCCAAATCCTTTCCTGGTTATTTGCGTGCCAAATTTCTTTTCCAAGTTCAAGATTTATATTTTCCATTTTGTTTATATTTTTAATCCATTAAAGGGTGCTTAAAAAATATTTTAATTTCATCTAATTTATCAGTCTTTTTATTTATGATTTGTGCTTTTGGTGTTTTAAGAAATCTTTTCTTACCCTGAGATCAAAAAAACAATTTCCTTTATTTTCTCCCCAAACTTTTAAAGTCATGCTTTCTCATACATAGGTCTTTAATGCATTTAAATATTGTTTGATGTAAGGATCTAAATTATTTCTCTGTATGGATAACCAATTTTTCCAATGCTGCTTGCTAAAAGACCCTCTTTTCCCACTGATTTGAAATGACATCTTTGCTATGTACAAATTTCTGTACATGAGTGGGCCTGTTTCTGGACTCTATTTTGCCTTTCTCTCTGCTAATATCACACTTTCTCACAACTATGATCTAATTAAGTCTTACTGTGGTGGTGGAGTAAGTCATCATATGTTGAACAGCCTCTTCAAAATTGTTTTGGCTTTCTTGGTTCTTTATGCTACCCTATATAAATTAGATCAACTTGTGAACCTCAAAAAAGACCTCATTTGAATTTTAATAAGAATGCATTAAATGTATAAGTTGCATTCAATTAAAATCTTTATAAATCAGTTCTACAAATCATTATATCCCTTTATATCCTTTGGTCTTTATCGTTGGAGCTATTTATAAAATCTGGGTCAATATTGGCCATCTTTCCATTTATGTACATCTTCAAAATTGTTTAAAATTTTATACTAAAGTTTTTTTACATCCTTTGATAGATTTCTTCCTATGTACATTTACATTTTGGTTGCTATTTTCCCATATATGCTTTCTAAACTCTATTTTTCTAGGTGTCCGTAGCCAGTGAATAGAAAATTACTTTCTTATTAATGTTAACGATGTGTCTTAGACTCTCCATTAAGGCACTTACTGAATCATGAATTATTTAGAGGGTTTAAGAAAAATAATTCCCAATAGATGGTTTGGTTTTGGTTTTATTAAGGGAGTCTAACAGCTGAGAATGCTCAAGAATAAACCATATGATTGCTTGTTTCATATCAAGAACAGCTTCCTGGTCTCATATGTGATCTTTTGGTAAGTGTATCAAGTATGTGGAAAGAATGCTTGTTCTCCACATGGGTCTTTTTTTTTTTTTTTTTATCATGTTTGCTCATTGAGCTGCTCAGATCTTCTCCATTCTTTCTTTTTGTCATGGTAAACTATCAATTACTGAAAGAGATGTGTCCATTTCTTCCCCTTGTGACTATGGAGATGCCCATTTCTCTTTGAAATTGTGTCTGTTTTTTGTTTTATATAATTGGATTCTATGTTTTAGTCCCTGCAAGTTTTGTCTTTCCAGTGAAAGATATCTTCATTTAGTGACTTATTTTTTTCTAATATTTTTTTGCTTGAAAGACAACCTTGTGTACTCTTAGTATTACCACAACATTTTCTTTGGGCTAGTATTTTGCTGATATTTTTCATATTTTACATTCAACATTTCTTTGTCCTTAAGTTCTAAGTGTGTCTTTTTTAAAAAAAAGCATATAGTTAGTTTTTACTATTTCAATATGATCGTCAATCTGCCTTTCTAATCATGGGTTTAATTTTACTTATTTTCTGAATTCTGCTAGATTTGGGTTATTTTTAGTCATTTTGTTTTATGCTTTATACATAACCTGACATTTTCTACTTCTTTTTTTTCCTCTCTTATATATATTTTATCAACCATTTAAAAATATATTCTAGGGCGTTCTCTCTACTGGTTTGAAAATTGTGTATACTATTTCACTTCTTAAGTGATTACCTTTACATAATTTTTAATAAGATATTTGATTTTGTAAATTCTAAAGTTAATCAATATGGTCACCCTTCCCCCTCAAATGCCTGAATGCCTGAATTCTGTCTATCTTATATGCTATTATAACCAGTACCTTCATTCTACCTTGTTTTTATATATTAAATATTTGTTTAAATCTATCTAATCTCATACACCTCACCTCTTCTTTCTGAGGTCAGTTTCTCTTAAAGTATAGTCTTGAGTAATTCTTTTATCAAAGATCTCTTAGTGGTAAATGCTCTTGATTTTTGTCTGAAAATGTTTATTTTGCCCATAATCTTGAAAGATTATTAGTTGTAATATAAGTTGATAATTATGTTCTCTCAGCACTTTGAATATATTATTCCATTGTCTTCTGGCTTCTGGTGTTGCTGTGGCAAACAATCTGATGTCCCTTCCTTTGTAGGCAATGCTTTTGTCTGTAACTGATTCTCAGATTTTGACCTTTATACTTGGTCTTATTTTAGTCATACTCTGTTGTATGTCCAATAGAGAATTTCATGTTATTTAACCTGCTGTGGTTCATAACTTTCATCAGGTCTCATTGTTTGCGTCTTGAACATGTAGTAGATGTGTGTTGGACCTTCACATGCCACACTTGTCAGTAAGCCCATCCTCCACACTCACTTCATCTCACTACACAAGCTTCCAACTATTCCTCAGATCTTTCTTTTCACTCACCTATTTATCCAGTGATATGTAATCTTTAGTTTAACATATTAAGTTTTAAATTGTAATTATTTAATTTCTGAGTTATACTTCATTCTTATTTAACTCAATCTGGTCTTTTTTGATGGTGTCTTATTCTTTTATGTACTTTATATTTATTTTATGATTTCTAATTTTAAACATGTTTATTTTATACTCTACCTGATAATTATATTTTATCTGAAGTTGCTAGAGGTTTCATATTGCTTTCTGTTTTGTTTGCTAATGCTCGGTTTTTGTGGATCATTATTTCATGTTTGGTATTTTTAAATTGTAGATTAATCTTTAGTTGGGACTTCAAATGGGGCTTTCCTGGAGAGCTAAGAATGAGTGTGTGGCCTCCCAGAGACTTTGTTTTGTTTTTATTTTTGAGTTGGAGTCTCACTCTATACCCAGACTGGAGTGTAGTGGCACGATCACCATAGCCTTGACCTGCTGGACCCAGGTGATCCTTCTGCCTCAGCCTTCCAAGTAACTTGAGCTACAGGTAGATGCCACCACATCCAACTGATTTTCTTTTATTTATTGTAGAGACGAGGTCTTGTCATGTTACTCAGGCTGGTCTTGCACCCCTGGGCTTAGGCATTCCTTTTGCCTCCACCTTCCAAAGTGCTGGGATTACAGCCGTGAACCTTCGTGCCTGGAGGCAGAGACGTTTTATATTTGTTTAAATCAGGTGCCCCAAGGGTACTATAAACCTGTGACAGCATTTTATATTAATTTCTTAGTGGGCTGGGTCTAGTAATATAAATTTAAATATCATATATATGTGAGAGTTCATTTATGATCGTGAATTTTAATGGGAGTCATTTTTTTTCTCAAGCAAGTTTCCTTGTCATCTCCCTGTGTGAGCAGGCAATTGTTTTTAGTTCATCCTTACA